CTCTCTCACACACACACACACACACACACACACACACACTCGACGATCCGACAACACTTAACGCACGCCGAGCGTCTGGGTGATAAATTTAAAATCCTACGAGCGTGTCCCGTTAGGAGGAATGTCATTATTATTTATTTTAGGTGGAGGTAGATACCTCCAACGTTGTGTACGTCTTGTGCACAGTGGATAGCGGCGGCGACCATTTCACTGGAATTCCTTTTACCGACCTTTACCACCGTCGTGACATTTTCAAAGCTCACGTTCTCTTAAACTATATGTTCTTTACCGGTTTSTGTCGAGATATCCRCGTGTACGAGCATTTTATTAGGTAGTGTRCATTAAAATGTTAACCAAATATTGGAGACTTAAATGTTTAAAAATCACAAGGAAAAATTATAGTTCAATCATTTTATTAACTACATTATAGATGAATAATAATTATTATATTTTACTAAAAATTAGAATAGCTCAAATACGAATTATTAGTCAGTTGTTGAAGTTAGTAATAAAGTAATAAAAATACATGTAATTTACCAATCACAGTGCAATAACGATCGAATATGAATACGTCAGGAAAAAAAGTAATAAAGCATAACGCGTAATTTACGGTTTTTTTTTTTATATATATTACTTGACTTAACGTTGAGTTATGCATTAATAAAAATTCGTGTTTAAAAATATGCTTTTGTTTAAATTTTATAAATTGCGCTCAAACCACACTAGTATGATGCATATCGACGACATTTTTAAATGAATAATACTTTGGACAGATAAGCAGAATATTATTTTTTACAGTACGTAATGTGCAGTAATTTTTATAAATCTTTACATCTTATTTCATTTAAAAACACGGAACCGAAGCAGTTAAATTACTCTATCGAATAATAATACACAAAATAATTGCATCTATAGAGAACTGTTATTCGAAGGAAATTAACCATTGGGGAATTTGGGGGGTTATGTGCAGATTAAATATTATATGAAGTCCCTTCCAAATTTGACTTCACTCCCTCGACTATCACAGCCCTTGGCCCTAATCACTCTCTCTCGCAAGTGGATTTAAATATTTGTGTCCTTACAGAGCTTTAAACGACAGGAAAAAAGCTCCAATATTAAAGTGTCGTAACGGACGATGATGCGTAGGTTCATAATATATAATATGTTTTGATTATTGGTACCCTGTCTCGACAAATTGAAATACTTTCGTTTTAGTGCGTCACGTGTGCGGATGTCTACTAAAAATGACAAAACACCGATTTTTAGAACGAAAGCATCTATTTTACTTATCTTATTTACCTATATTGTTTCGAAACGGTGTCAGAGACTTGMGTACGCGTATAGGTGACGCCTTATACCCTTAACCTTATGCTATCGCTATGTCTGCGGTGTCCGACTAAAAACCAACCGAACAACACAACTAAAGTGGTAATGTATGACTGTGTATGATTACGCGCATAACTACACGGGGACGAATCTATTGTTTTGAAAAATGGATATTTTTCTTCGCAGCCCAAGAGATTTGGTCCAAACATATTTATCGTTCTCATGAAGGATACAGAATTTTCTTCCCGGAATTATCCCTATTTCTTAACTGTCACGAAAACAGAAAAACCCACATTTATCTTTATCTCATATATTTTTCTTTCGCAACCACATCCAGCTCTGTGTATGCGAATTTGTGCAAAATATGCGGCCTCGTTCACAAATCTTTATTTTTTTTTTTTAATATTACCACTTCGCTGTGACGGAAGCGATGTTCGCGTTGCATTAACATTATTTTTCCGCGAATAAATTTGTCATCATTAAGTAATAGGTTTATGGAAAACACGACTGCGATACATTCAATATTCGCTACAGAGTGGGAACCTTCCTGTTTTCGATTTCCACTTTACAAGTAACGTAATTTTTTGTAATTGCTAAAATCATACAAAAATACGTATCGATGCAGTTATGGGAAATTATGAGTATTTCAAAATTTTTTTTCATTGCCAGATACTCGTACTATTAATACCTATATTAAAATTGAACTTTGAAGCTTAAATTATTTTTCTAAAGACTTATAATTTTGTGTTGATAGGAATAGTAGTAGGTACAATAATAGTTGTTAATTATTGTTAGAATGATTGCTGTTGATATCCTTAACAGGTCCCGCAAGATAAATTTTAGTGTCGAATATTCGTCGATCGTTGTGTTTTACGAGTCATACGACTGTAAGAGGTACTTATTTGATCGAAAAGCATAGCGATTATTTTAATTCGCTGAGACATTCGTGATTTTGTGCATATTGTCTAATAATTTATTATCTGGTTCGCACTTTTTTTACAGACATAAACTACACATCAGGGGCGTATTTATGGA